AAAAAAAGGTGTCAGAGGCTGCAATATATTTCTTCAGCCAGTTCATTAAATTAATTCGTAAGCAGTGGCTCTGAAATTATACCCGATGAAAAATGGTCTCAAAATTTAAATGGTACAAACTCATCTTATTAGAGGCAAAACATTAAAAAACAAACGCATCTCTTCCCCCCCCGCCCCCCCCGCCATCGCAGCTTTAATTTCTCTTGGTGGGGGGAATGAAAGGCGTTTGATGGATGGCTCTTACCTTATTCATAAGCGAGGATAAAAGAGATGAATTTGCTGAGACTGTGTGGCCATTTGATTCATTACTGGAACACACAAACCAACAGGGTTTAGTTAAGATGTGCACAGGGACTGTGATCACTGAGATTAATCCTTCTCCCTTCAAGCTGCCTCACTCCTCACCTGCTACATCCGGAGGAAGAGAATGATGCCCACCCTCCCCTGGGCAGGCCAAACTCTTTTACTTGTGATAGCCAAGATGGAGAGAAAGAGGGTCCCAAGTTTGCAGAATTTAGTTCTTTCAGCTATTAAACAGTCCAGACCTCTTCCTCCAGTGTCCACACCATCACACTTTTTTATTAGCTGACTCACAACCCACCCCATGTTTTACTCCTTCATCCACAAAACCAGGGGGAATGCTGACAGGAGACCCATACTGCCAGGGACAGAGGGCCCCTCGGCAGCAGAGGAGAAGGCAAGGCAACAATCCTTACGGCCACAGCTACACAGGCTGAAAAGCAACCTTAGTATTTCACATGCATCGGTAATTAGTTCTAGTTGACTACAAGTGCTGGGGTCCCAAATTGAGGCTTGTTTAAATAAAGTATGGAAAGGAATGTATACAAAGGTCAAAGTGGAGCAGGCTCACTTATCCCCAGTATCAGTTCCTTTGCAGTTTTTCCACATAGGACAATCCCCAAACACTCCTGTTCTCAGTAGAGATGCTGGACAAGTAGGACACATGCTTTGAGATAGGTGCATTGACATCTGCGCAAGTGCAAAGATGCATCACTGTAACTATAGATTACCACATGCCAGACCCAGAGCAGAGTTAGCCTGACACCCGATTGTTTTGTGTGTCCAATTTCTCTGGAAGGTGCCTCTCTTAGACCTGATTCAATGCCCTATTACATCAGTGCAAATCCTCCTGCTAAAAGTGTGAAGTGTGGCACTGGAGCAGCCTTCGGTCAGCTCTTGATGACAACAGCAGGAAAAAGAAGGAGCTTTGCCAGCGGCTTGTTTTTCAGAGGGGAGCACAAGAAGTGGGGCTCGTCAAAGAGTCAGTAGGTGCTTGTGAGCCCAAAAAAAGGTCTGGAGAACATACACTTGAGGGGGAGTAGAGAGCCTCCCTGCCTCCAGTTTGGGGGCGTCCAACTCAGCCACTGTGAAATTGCCTTTCACCAACATGTTGCGTCCTCTCATATTACAGGTACGGAAATTTCTCAGAGCTTGATGCTGGAAAGAGCTAAGCGTGCCTGCCTGCGCACTTCTCTCACCCATGATCCTTGACGCTCAGGTCCAAGCTGTGCTCCTGCAAGGAGTCCTGACTGGTGGCAGATGACGATCCCATGGCCTCCACAGGTTCCTGCTTCACCTGAACTGGATTGAACCGTCCAGGAGCTGCTGGTTGTCCATTCCCTGCTTGAGAAAGACACCGAAATTAAATGCAAAAATTAAATTAAAAATGTAGGTCTAAAATGAGGTTACAGTGGCAAATATGTAAGTTAAACCACTAGCACCAGTGCACAAATGGAAAAAGCAAAGAAAAAGTGTGGGGGGAGGAAGTGCTGGGATTGCTGGTCAGCGTTTATTGCCAGGCTGACATGATGGGTTCTGACGTCCACTCCAGCGTGGAAATTCTTCAAGTGATAATTATTGCAAAATTATGTCAAAGTTGTCCAGGCTATGGGCCCTTTAAAGGAGAAGGGCGGAAGGAGCGTGGGGGAGACCTGATTCTCTGCACAAACTGTCATAACTAATTTGCAGGGCTGCCTCTTAAGCGTTTATTAAAGACTCTGTTAATGCTGAGGCAATGTGGCAGCTTTCGACTGCTAGTCAAGCCCCCTTTCTCGTCCCCAATCCCAGCGTTGCCGTAGCGACAGCGATGGCCCGCCACTGCGCGTGCCCAGCAGGAGCATCTGCCCCGTCGGGGCTATCGAAGGTGACAGCCAATGGGATTGGTTCAAACTGCACGACCTCTTGCCACCGCCATCACGTTGTCCCCACAAAAAGGGGGAATTCTTTTTTTTTGGGAGGAGGTTTAGTGCTGACCCCATGAAAGAAAAATTCAAATTAAAGGACGAGAAAAAAGAGGAAAGGGGGGAAAACAGGAGAACAAATTAAAGAAAAAAAATTAGGAAGAACAGCAAAGAAAAAAGGAGGGAAAAAAAGTTGCTGACAGGAACATGTCTGCAGAGCTTTTTTCCACAATCCCCAAGTGACTAAAATATTAATTTACCCTCCGGCAGTACAGCTGACGGCGAGCTGCTTCGCAGACAGCAAGTGGCATTTTATTAAAAAATAAAGGAAAATAGTTCCCTCAATGACCTTTCTCTGCTTTAGGAAACAATTTTTCAAATAATAATTTTAAAAGTATGTGAAAGTTCCCCTCCCTCTTTAATCAGATCATTTCGTCCTACTCCCTCGTTTGCTCTTGGGTAGAAGGGAACATCGGCAGCACTCACGTACCCACGGGCCAGCAGCCCGCTCTGGCCTTTCCACGCCCCGGGGAAGGAGGCTGTGGGGCACCCTGCCACAGGGTGCTGCCAGGCAGAGCCTCCCCTCCACGACCCCTCGCTGCCCACCATGTTCACAGGAGGTTGTGGAGGCACCCTGTGCTCTGGAGGGAGCCCCACGTCCCTGCTGGCAGGGCTGGGCACAGGCAACTACCTGCCCCAGGTCTAGGAGAAGGTAGGAAGAGCTCCGGGCTGCCCCAGGGGACTTCTCATTCCCATCTTTTACCCCTCTCACGGTGCCGCTGTCCCTTGCAGCTCAGGGAGCTGGGCTGAGAAGCACAGCTTGCAAGAACTGAAGGGGAGAAAGGTCCAGTTTGTTGCCTGTATCAACACTACCTCCAAACCCACAGCTGGCACAACAGAGCTGGAGCACAGAACCAACCCCCCAGATCAGAAAAACAATTGGCAATTGTTTGGCTACAGGATCAACAGCTAGGCCCAGCCAAAACTCGACACAGTCTGCAGAAGACGCCTTACGCTGCTGTATGGCCTGCAAATATTGGCCAAGCTTTTACTTCATTTCCATTTTTAATACAGTGCCTCTCTCTTTTCAGCCTACAGCAAACTAGGTAATACACATGGCAACACTCTTCCTTCAGATCTGGTAGGAGCCTACTGCGTTTGTGGGCAAAGCTGCGTTTCCTGCCTCTCTTCTGGCCACGTGGGTACAGCCAGGCTCCACAGCAAACCATGCCAAGACTGCCCTCTTCAAGGGTTAACTGGACACGACCAAATTTTTCTCCCATTTATGTTCCTTTACTACCTCCTCCCCACCTCCAGTCCCATGGACAACTGGGTGGCTTCCCATTCACTCCTCTCCAAGCCATCAGGCACTGTTCTTCCTCCCACCACTAGCACAACTGATGAGGGTAACTCACCTGCTTCAAGTGCCACAGAAGGCTTGAGTGCAGCTGCTGCCAGCCTGGCCATCATAGGAGAGATTAATCCCTTGCTAGCAGAGATCCTTTCCATTATAGATGCCGCTGGAGCTGGAGAAGAAGTAGCTGCTGGCTCACCAGATCCTGAAATGGCCTGGGATGAGGAATCCGTAGGAGCAGATGATGTTGGATTGGTGCCAGAAGAACCAGCAGTCATCAGGTTAGCTGAGCTGGCAGGAAGTGGTGTAGAGACCCGACTGGGGATGATGGGGAAGAAGGATCCAGCTGTTCCAGGAAGTGCTGAGTTGGAGAGTGCCAGGGCCAAGGGTATATTGCTGGGAAGAGCCTGGGAGAGCAGGCCAGAGATCTTGGTGGCTGGTGTCATGCTGTTGGCAGACTTGCTGGCCTGTGAGGAAGCAAGCTCAGCAGCAGAGGAGGGTGCAGCTGGGACTATGAGAGAAACGGAAGACTGTTGACTGGTGGGGGAGGCACTCAGGCTGGAGTTCTTCGAGCTCATAGCGGAGAAGTCAATAAGGTCATCATTACTGGACTCCTCTTGCTCATTATCCTTGGACCCCAGGAGAGAGGCAGGCAGGCCCAGCACTCCTGAGCTCCGGATGTGCCGGCGCTCATGTTTGCGTTTATGGGAGGTCATCTGGCTGGTGGAGGTGAAGGTGAAGCCACAGCCTGCCCTTATGCAGTGGAAGTGGTTGGTGGCCTTGCTGTAGACACAGCCCTCATACTTGCATTCCTCATACTTGTAGAACTTCTTGAAGCCGTCCTTGGCATAGGCATCATCTTTGATGTGGTAGCTCTTGTGCTTCTCAATGTCACACTTGTTCTTGAAGGTGAATGTACACCCAGGTCGCCTGCAAGGGCATCGAGGAGGAGAGGGTGGTTGGCTGTGTGGGCTAGGGACACAACGCAACTGCTGTCACCTGCCTCCCTCTGGGATAAGGACCAGGGCCAGTATGAGACAATGGCCCTGGCTGCAAAGGGGTTGAGGCGCTTTATGCGGATTAACCCATGACACCAAGGCAAGCAAAAATGCTGCCATGTGAGAGAGCTGGGAAGCTCACTCCACTCTGAGGAACTGCCACAATAACATGGGGATGCAGGCACCCACGACTAGAAGATCCAACCAAAACAGCAACTAAAGGGGACTAAGGTACAAACTGTGCTTTCCTACTCTTCCTGAGAACGTGAGAAATCAATAGAAGAGCATTTGTGTACAGAAGGCAGAGTCTGGCCCTGAAAGGGATGAGCTGGCTGACTGCTGGGCTGGAGAGAACTCTAGCATGGAAGTGCCATTAGCAGTATATTAATGGTCTACTTCAGTCAAAATCTGAAGAGCACTGTGATCTCTTTCCCAAATGATTTTAGGATGTATTTTCTAGTGGGTACACTTTCCCCAGATCACCTCAGATCACATTCCTGCCTTCAGAGTGGTCTGTGGCGAGATCCTGGAAATCACATCTGCCCTGCAGCATGAGTTCTCTCAAGAGCAGTACTGAGAAGGTCACAGCAGGGAAAATCAAGTCCCTGTGTATACGCTTCAATTTATGACTTGGCAGAAGGAAGCAAACAGATCACGCAACTCTGAGGCAGGATTTCTCCCCTTCCCTGCTGTCTCACCTGCAGTGAAAGTGAGTGGTTTTCTGCCCATAGAACTGGCATTCCACAGTGCCGCAGTCCTCCGTGGCACGGAACCGCTGAAACCCATCGTTGATGAGCTGCGTGTTCTTCTTGTGAAAGTTCTCATGGGTCATCACGTCAGAGGTGCTTGTATAGACCTTGTTACAACCCACCTACCCCAGGCCAAAACAGGGAGTCATCAGCACAGTGTTTTAACAGCCTACCATTATTACCAGCAATAATAAACATATGAGCAGCACACACACATTTAATAGTTCCGTTTGTGCACTTCACCTAGGAGTATTAAGTCATCACTTTAATTCCCAATCTAAAGACTGATAGAGCAGTTGTGAAAAAAACCCAACTCTCTGGGCATGAAACAGGAAGAAAAAACGGGAGGATGCAAAGGGATAAAAGACCAGCTACAGATAATCATGCCTGCTTAGGGAGGCAGTAAGCAGGGTTCGTGCTCTTAAGGAGAAAAGAACACTGACAGATGCCATTACTTTTTGTTGTCTTGGAGCGACATGGAATGAAGCAGGACTGTCATCTATATGGGGAATACAAAATTGAGTGGGAATGAGTTATTTACCTCTTTAGTGCTTCTGGGAGGTAAGGCAGAGTGGTGCAACATGAGGCCAATCTTTTGAGCTTGTACTATATGGGTTTCATTCTAGCACAGCATAAACCCTATGTTCAGCTGATCTTAGCAAACTGGTGACTTTTTTTCCCGTCACTGTTCAAGACTACCACTTCAATAATTTTAAACTCGTGCAGCAAATGGGAATGGTGTGACAAGGACGGAATGCTGAAAACCTGCCTTCCTCCGGGTAAAGCGGGCAACTTTGCCATATTGAGTAAAAAAACACTGGAATCTGAAAATGTCCTCAGCCCTGCTGAGGGAGGATTTTTTTTTTTCTGTTCTTCTCTAGCACAACGTGTGCCAATGCCTGCACCATCTCAGAAGTGAAGAGAACGAAAACACCACCTCTTAGTTCAGCCCAGGTTGATTCAAACAGGCAATAACAAAACCCATGACAAATACCCAGAAAAAAAAATAAAAAGGATCTCCAGCTATTTCCAATATAAAAGAGCCTCTCTTTCTCTGCACTGACACCTTGAAAAAAGACAGACCCTGCATGGCATTAAAAAAAAGAATTAAACAAAAACCTCCTTAGGAATAATTTGCAATGCAGCTCTTGGTGCTAAAGCCTAAAAAAATGTCAGTTTATATAAACAACTAACTGAATTTTATCCCCACCAATTATGGACATAAAGAGAAAAAAAAAAAGGCGTGAGATGGATGGCACAAATTCTGCCATTTAAGCAGTATTTTCTTTAATTGGGAGTTTATATTCAGACACCTTGCCTGTAAGACACTGCTTACATGGGCATTATTTTACTGGAAGACAGTGGGCACAGGATGGAATTACCCATATATAGTTGTGTAAACGAGGGTCTCTAACTCGGAGTGACTTAAAGCTGTGAAACACTCCTCATACTCTAAAAAAAAAATTAAACAAATCCCCTCCTGGTCAACTGAAGAAACTAAACAATCAATATTATGGAAGCATAACAGAAAATGTCCTCAAAAGAAAGTCACATGAAGTTCCCAATTTATCAAACGTTGTAAGCACATGCTTAAACCAACCCCTATTCAGGACAGTACTTGAGTGCATGCCTAACATTTAAGTATGTGCTTAAGCCCCACTGACTTCAGAAAGCCTACCTGACTTCAAGTTAAACATATGCTGAAGTCTATCCCAGCAAAGCATTTAAGCATGTGATTAAGGCCTTGTGACTTTAACTGGGGTCTTAAACTGTTGGGATAGGGCAGGAAGTGAGACCCAAGTTTTCAGAACAGAAAAGCTTTCACCAAGGGTTGCCTGATTGTTGTTTGTAACTACAGCACATTCTCGTGGCAATGGTTTAGACCACAATTCTGAACAAGTACATATCAAACCCTCTAATCTGAAGAACGATCAGGCTAAGACCCTAACAATCTGGTGTGTCCGTGTCTAAAAAACAGTAAAGGCGTCACAGTTACATCTACGCCGGTTCTGGTTATGCTGCTGTTGAAGCCTGGCTGGCTCTTGAAACAAAGCTCCCAGCCAACACCACAGACAAGTAAACTCCAGTACCACTGGTGAAGGAGATGGAGAACCAGGGGTGTTAAGTCTCGATATGTGACATTAAAGTTTAATTACTTTAGAAATTGATTATGGAGGAAATTAACCCAGTGTTAAAGGGCAGATGTGTCACAGAAAAGTCTGATTTCAAGGGAGTGACAGATCAGATTTGGATAGAGGCAGTGCAGTGGTATCGCAGAGAGGTCCCTGAATGTCAGAGAACGGGACTTGTTTGAACAAGTAAACTCCAAGAGTGTGAGAAAACCTTGAGACCTGCTTTGCCTCACTGCATGCACAAGGCTTCTAAAAACAGAGAATGGTGCTTCCCTTTGCCCTTCCCAACACTTGGCAAGGCAAGTGCAGTGAGGGCAGGACACAGACTCTTCAAAGAGGTGCTTGAATCAGAAGTGAGCAAGAGAGGCTATGAATGTCACCCCTTTGCCTCAGGACAGCCCCTTGCTGGGGGACAGCCCCTTCCTAACAAGGAAGTGCTGGGCTGCCTGAACTCAAGAATCCTTTCAGTCCACCCCAAAAAGGACACAGCTCAAACGATGGCTCTTCATTTGCCTCGTGTGCTACCACCTATTCCCCAGTCCAGCTGTTACCTGCATGCAGTGGTAGTGTGTGCTTTTCCCGTTCAGGTGGCAGCCATGATAGTACACGCTACAGTCATCCAAGGGGCTGAAGCGCATGAAGCCGTGCTGGAGGGAATTATCACGTTTCTTGTGCATGTTGTAATGCCGAATCACATCCTGTTTACTAGTGAATCTCTGGAGAGATACAGAGACAGACAGTGAGACACACGTGATGGGAGCGGGTGAGTAATCCTGGGGGCAGGGTATTTTTTTGTTGTTGTTGTTAATAAACTTATGGTACCAGGAGTTTAAAGCTCAGCAGTAATCACCCCAAGAGAGTCAGATTAAAGAGGAATTGTGTGCATGTATCTTCTTGGTAAAGGGAAGGTATCTACACAGGAAAAGTTGTAGAGTAAACATGACACTGGGGTGATGTCCAGAATATGCTCCCTGCAGCTTTAAGACTGCAATTCTTCTAATGTAATTTTAGCTGCTACTATCTCAAGAACTGCTATAGTTAGAAAGAAAACCAGTGAACTAAACAGCCTACAAGAGAGTAATCCAAGCTTCCAAATCACTCACTGTAGTGGTTAGCAAGACACTGGCTGCCACATTCATGTCAGACTAGAAACTGAGAAAAACACTCTGGTCTTTTATAGTATCTTCCCATTTTAAGTCTTCTGCCTCCCCTACAAGGTAAGACGGCTCTGTTAGGACACAGAACTTTCTTCCAGTCACAGAAAAAGATGGTAGTAGAGCTTAGAGCTAAGTCTGTATGACCAGCATATCCTTTTCATCCTCTACCTGCTTGAAGTAATGAAGGGGTACCCCACTGTCAGAGCAGGCTAAGTGCCTTTAAAATGAAGCTTTTCATTTCTATTTCCCACAGACATCAATATTTAACAGTGAAGGTGGGAAAGTAAATCTGATTTTTTTTAAAAGAAATCAATATCCATTTATTTTGAGGAGTAATTGAAAAGGCCTGTATTCTAATGTTTAACAACTTTTCTAGTCTCCCTCATAGGAAACAAATGATTATCGCTTCCACTCCTTCCTCCTATAATATCAATCCTGATCAATCTCGTTGGTATTGGCACGGGAATATATGGATATAGATTTCAACAGGAATCCCTTGGAGGCTGGAGGTATGATTTCCCCGGGCGTACATACAGGATTGCTATTGCCAATCATCGTTAATTTGTGCCCACTTATTACAGAGCGTTACTTATTCTAAAATATATCTCGGCCGTAAAATAATTTGCATTTTAAAAAGCAGCCTAAATCCTTATTCCCTGCGAGACCAGACAGCTCCTTTGCAAGCAGTTTCCAGACTCCTTAGGAAATAATCATGAGGCCAATCATAATAATAGGTTTTTCTGTCTTTCTATCCTTTGTGTTTCTCTCTTTCTGGTGCAGAGATATCCATGTCACAGTTGGGACAGACTCATCTCGGTTACCAAATGCTGGGCTAGGAGGACCACTACATGCATCCCAGAGACAAACTCTCCTTTGATCAATAGAAACCCACAGTCAAGCTTAGCAGATCCAGATCAACTTCCTATGCTGTGGTCAGACTCATTCCTTTGAGACCCAAAGGTCTCCTGGGGTAGAGCTGAAGTTGTGTCTGATGCACAGTAGAGGCAAACTCTGGGATTCCCACTTAGACACACGCAGCCTGACCACAGAAATGGCAGTGTCAAACTCACAGACCTGGGAAGAGGGTAAACAAACACAGCACGTGACTCGGCTGGCTTGACGTTGCTACCCTGGCAGTTCTCCCAGTAATTACAGCATCGCACATGCTCCTGCCCCCACGCTTTCCCCACAAATCCTGGACTGCTGCTGGTCTTATTGGGTGTTTTGTTGCAGATACTGCTGCTACAATGTCACTTGGGCAGCAGGAGGGGAAGAGACAGACAGGGTAAACAAACACAGCACGTGACTCGGCTGGCTTGACGTTGCTACCCTGGCAGTTCTCCCAGTAATTACAGCATCGCACATGCTCCTGCCCCCACGCTTTCCCCACAAATCCTGGACTGCTGCTGGTCTTATTGGGTGTTTTGTTGCAGATACTGCTGCTACAATGTCACTTGGGCAGCAGGAGGGGAAGAGACAGACGATCAGCATCTAGTTTCAGGCACAATTTGTAACACAGCAGAATTTATCCTCTTGGTTTCACTGATGTAAATCTGGAGTAGTTCCCACTGACTTGAGCTGATCTATATTCTGCTCTTCATTACAGTGGTCTGGGCTTGGTTAAATGGTGTTAGATTGGGTTAAATGGGAACAAAATAGGATTCTAGTAAGTTCAAAATATATCTTGCCCTCTTTCAGAGCAGAAAAGTGAAGAGGCATGTGCGTGCGTGGGGGAGGAAAGCACAGGTGGACACGCATCTCCCCTAGGTTGTACCCCTCTACATTCAGGCAACTGTGCTGGTAACTTTTTACCATTCTTTTACCTGGTAGTTGCACTCTGGGTCAAGGCAGTGGTAATGTTCTCGATACTGGTATGCACAGTGTATATGTCCACAGTGCTGACTGCCAGAGAACCTGCAAACATGAAAGGAGGACAGAAGAAACGGAGAGAGAATGAAACAGTGTCCTGACAGTAGCGCCTATAAGCAAGGTACAAATAAAGTCAGTCCCACTCCTGCTTTCATTCCACATGTTTATGGCATTAAACCTCATCTCCTTGATCCCCTCCAAGGATTGTGACCCTCCCGCCTTTTCTTATTTGCCACTATTTAAAGGTGCTTCTTGAGCAGGATCATTCAGGTCTTGTACATCCCTGATCTGTCTGTCTTTCCCTTTGAAATTCATCTCCATTATCTACTTTGCTTACTTGGGGAAGAGTAAGGAAGGTTCCTTGAATTAAATACCATACAATTCTAAAATTCTCATGTGTGAGTTTAGATACTGCAGTGAGTTTCAGAAATCTCCGATGCCAGAAGCAGACAAATAAACATCGGTCAAATATGGATTCTAAATTTTAGGTATACGCCCATCTAGTAGGACCTCAGAAAAGCTCAGGCATTCATTTGTTTTTACGAGTATGTCTCAAGACTTTTTTTTAATCACAGTATGGTGTCACACTACAGAGAAGATTGCAAACCAGTGGATTAGATGGTAAGCCACACAGATTGAAGATGATCATGGCAAGATTATACAGGAACTTTCAATAAGATGGACAGATCCATGGAAAGATAGGTGAGATGGATCAACAAAAACAGAACGAAGGCAGATATCTCGACCTTGTGTGCACATCTCCCATGCACGACAGCCCTGCTAATCATTATTTTCCATGTGGATACAGTATTTGTTCACAACAAAAAATAGTGCAATGCAAAAGAACAGGGTTTTCAGCCTGCCTTTGAGTGCAATTAAAAGTAGGACACAAGAAGCAAGAGCCAACAACATGCACCTAATCCAGTTCTGCAGGCCACCACTGAGCATTCCACACAGCAAATTTGGAAACTCCTGACATACAGGGTGGAAAAAAAAACAGAAAGGCCTTATAATATCTACATACAAACAGACAGTACATAGAATGTATTGACAGATAGACACATTGGTAATTGGCAAAAGGGGACGAGATCCAGTAACAGGCTAATCAGTGCAATGAACTCTCTGATGTATATACTAGAGGACCCTGGAAAAGCTGAAGAGCTTGAAAGGGAAAAGCAGTGGAGAGAAGGGGACTCAGAGGGGAAACATTCAAAGATAAAGTACCATCTGCTCAAAGGTTCCTCAAAGGTTCCTCACGTCACTTAGTACTAAGCACAGCAGGAGTGCGTATGATAAAGGGCATGGGAAAGAAAGAAGGGCGGGCAACGGGTAAAAAGGAAAAAATGAGAGGAGTGAGGCTGTCCTGGGGCAATCAAGGAACGGGGCAGGGAAGATTATGGATCATCATAAGGTGAGGTAACGCTAAGCTACAGGATAGAAAAAGTCAGGATGAAAAGCAGTACTAAATAAGGCATTTCTGAAGCACAGTAAGGAAGAGGAGGTCAACTGTGGAGACAGCAGGGCCTCTAGGAGATGGAAAAGGGACTTAATTGACAGAAAAGATAGACATTGCTAAAAAATTAAATGACTTCTTTGCCTCAGCATTCACAAAGGGAGACAGGGACAGATGCCAGGAGCAGACATGCCTTTCCCTGGGGAAGGAGAAGAAATACTGCAGGAAATCAGGATCACGTCAGAACAAGTGATTGAGAAACTGGAACAAACCTCAGCAGCGGAGAAGAAACAAACCACAAGGCAAACGGCAAGGCTGGCTGCACAAACAAAGGTGTGGAACTGAAAGCAGTGGAAGCGATTCCTGCTCAACGCCTGGGCAACTGTAAGGCTAGTACAGGGCACAGGCAGCAGCCTGAGTCACCATGGCATTAACCAGGTACATGCAGCTCGGCAGCAGATTGAACCAACTGGTCCTGCTAGTCCAGGGCTTTATGTCAGCAGCAGCACCACCAGCAGCTTTAAAGGGAAGAAATGGCTCTGTGGAAAGCTTCCTCCCTATTCCACTGATGAGATGGGGAAGGGAGAGTAAAGGGGTGTGCACGGCTGGAGAACCACGGAGTGCAGGCCAGGCAGAGAGAAGAGGAAGACCTTGCTGACAAATATACACCTTTGAAGCAAAGCAGTCCAAAATATTATCAAAAGTAAGGATTCAAAACGACCAGAGATGCCAACTGCAGTAAAGAAGGGCCAGACACCACAGAGATCTGACTGTATGGGATGAATTACTTAAAGCATCCTAGCAGGAGTAACTCACGGGCTCAGCTTTAAAAGCAACAGCTAAACAAGCACTCTAGCACTTCAAACTCCTACCCTCCCTTCCACGTGCCACGGAAAGGTGTTGTATGTGTGGTGTCTACAGCGCAGGAAGGGAGAGGCAAGTGTTCTACCAAACTGTGTGCTTGGGGAAGGAGGGAAGCAGCAAACACAGCACAAAGGGGAAATTCTGCTCTTTCAGTCTGTAAGGTTAGGCTCCTAAAGGGTTATATTTATCCTGTGTTTCTTCTGACACTTGAAACAGTTCAAAGCTATTAATTTTTAAAGCACAGCATCTGTTTAGCTTTTTCATAACAGGAAAGCTTACACACCACACACTTACTTACACGCAGACACGCGCGCACATTTACATGCACATACTCTAAGGTACATCAACACCCCTCTTAATTTACATGAACGTACCCACAATTTCCATGCATATGATCAGATACACGATCAGACACAAATACACACACCTGAAACAAGCAAACTCACAGACCATTTAATCACACTGATACGCAAATCCAAACTCCTAAATTGTCCATACAGGCACATAGATTCCTTTTCACAAGTATTACCCCCCCCCCTTCTCTTCATTTAATCGGGCAATTTTTTTTTTTTTTTTTTGGCCAGAAAGAACTAGTCTTGATCTGGCAAGAGTTAGAAAGAAAAACCAAGATAAATAAATAATAATAAAAATAATAAATAAAGAAGTCAGCATGCTTAGAGAGTGTTTACAGACTCATTACCCTGTAACGATGATGTGAAAGAAGGAAGAAAAAAAAACCCACCCCAATTACAAGGGGGGAGGAAACCCACACAGAAATAAATATTTAAGCAAGTGCTGCCAGAAGCACCATCTGCTGAGGCACTAATAATAATAATAATAATTTTTTCTGTGGTCTTTTTTTTTTTTTTTAATTATAAATATACAGGGGGGGAAAACAACCCAACCCAAACTAGCTAAGTAAGAGGTTTTGTTTTGTTGTGTGAGAGAATGGATTATCCCTGGGCAGCTTTTGGCAGTGGCTTTGGCAAACTCATTAAGCTAATTATGCAGTACAGACATAGAGTGTCGTGTCTCTCTCCCCTCACCCCTTGATTTTAAGGCTTTAAACTGTTTTTAAAATTGTGTGTAAATTGAAGGGAAGTGGCTGTGCTGCCAACGGGCGGCTTGCGGAGCTTTTTAAGCAGGATGTGGTGTCCCTTAGCTATCTGACAAGCCTCCCTCAGTTACCTGCCTGACCCAGGGGAAGGGGCTTGCAGAGTGCTACAAAGAGTGGATGTGGGTGAAGTGTTTATACAGTTCTCTGCTTGAGAGGGAAACTGGGGACAGAAAGGGTGGCATCTCCTCTCTCACTACAACCTCTGTGATTCCTGCAATCTCAGCAATAAAAGGGTGCTGCTCCTTCTGCCCCATGCAAAGATGGGCTTAAACCCCTGCTTTCATTCATTCCTGTACTCTCCCAGGACACAGTGAGTTGCCACATGTGCTAGAGGCATTGCTGCTTGAGGAGCTGCATGTGGTGGTGCAACTGTCCTCTCTTCCCATGTGGTCTTCTGCTCCCTTCTCCTACATCAGGGATTTGGGCAAAAGGGACAGAAGGGAAATCACCTCTCATTCCACTCTCCAGCTAGGGAGAGCACTGTACCCACCCTTTTCCCCTGCTGATGTGCCAAGATCTTCCCTTGCACCTTCCTACCAGCTGACCACCTCCCAGAGAGAGACTCTCTGTAGACTCTGGCAAGGTGGGAAAGCACAGTACACATTTCCCTTGTTAATAAGTGCCCAAGTGCTGGTGGGAACAACCCCTTCAGTTTTATTTCTGGAGAGAAGCGTTTGCTTGCTTCCTGGACTGGTGTCTTTCTGTATACGAGGGGCTTTCATAGTGAGCTTCCTCACAGTACAGCCGGAGGATTGAACAGGCCAGGGGCAAAGGCTGATGGACCCTTTACACCGTGAGCTAATAAACCAGGCAGTCTTATGCAATAATCTCCTCTGTCCCTCTGGCTCTCATGGCATTACTCACTGAAAGTGAGTCTCACCACAACAACCCTGGGCTCCCTCTCAGCATTGCTCATTCCTGACCTAAGCTTGCCCAGAGCTGTGATAAGGTGCCCTAGTCCGCGCCTTATTCAGTGAGGGTTTCTCATATAAATGAGCTGCAAAATGTTCTAGGATAGACATCCCACATTGATGCCAAGACCTGCCTGAAGTTGAGTCACTTGTGAATTCCTCCAGCCTAGATTCTCAGACATAAGATGTTTTCTGCTTGCCTCCTGCAGGCACTGGACATGGTAGGGGAAAAAAGGCTGGAGACAGCACAGCAATGGACAGAAAGAATGACAGTCAAGAGACAGCGCTCCCATTTAAATCCTGGGCTTCTCCAGTGAAACATTTTTCCACTATTTGTCACAAAGTCTAACAGCTCTGGGGAGCTGAACATGCTCTTGGCATGCTTGTACACCTCTCACAGCTACTGCTCTCCCAAGCAGGGGAACAGAGCAAGTACAGATGCCAGAGGGAAATGGAAGTGCCAATGACTGGTTTAAACACTTGATCCAGATGGACAAGACTTGATCTCTCCCACCACCACTCCACCCTCTTACTTCCAGCCCTCTCCCCAAGAAAGCCAAGAGTTTTGCCTACCTGGCAATATACTTCTGGTAAATATTTACGTCTTCGCTGACAGCTGGTTTGTCAGTGGGTAATCCGTTCCTAATGAGAAACACACAGGGTAGAGCTGGTTAGCAGGCAGGAACAGGGCACAGTCTAAGCTCCTTGTTTCTCCCACACACCACTGACACATCAGGAGAGAGGGCGCACAGAAGAATACCCAGCAAAGACACCCATGGGTTTAACCTCCCACCCCCTTACCCTTCAAATCTTGTACCTTCTTTTCCCAGCAAACCATACAGTCCACCTACCACCCACCTACCAGTCCCTCTTTGCAGGACTCAGTTCAGTTTGTTGGAGACACTGAGAAGACCAACGATGAAAACCTGCTTTTCCACAGAAAAAAACTAAATACCCACACACAAACAAGTGATGGCCACATGAAAACAAACACCTCCCTGAAGCACCTCGCAACACTGCCCTTATGCGCATGGAAGCGCCATTGAGACACGTCTGCCGTAGGGTCAACTGTGGGAGAAGAGTCTCTGTGCTTCACCCATGCTGCGAGCTACTGCACATCTCCCATGGCCCGCAGGCACAGCGTACCGGTCCTGGCAATGTGGCTACAGCCCCCTAGATGGGGCTTTAATTGCCTCTTTTTTCACACAGATACCCCAACTCCAGTAGACAGACGGGGCAGCAAACGTATTTATGTATTCAATGGGGAAAACCAGCCCAACTGCACCCAACTGTCACATAAGCCTGGGTTACTTAACATCATTAGGAAGCTGACAAAAATTACACCCTCAGTGAGTTCAGCAAGAGGAAAAAAGAGATACAGGGCCAGACTCCAGCCTACCTAAGAGACAGTGGCATACCAACACAATCCCAGACAGGCTGTATGTGGTCTTCCTTCTCAGTTTTGCTCCCACCCAACCTCCATTCCTACTCGTGACAGCTCTGTAGCCTGGTTTAAACAAGGACACTTTCGCACACAGTTCACTTGAAGAAGGTAGATTAGTTCAGGGCAGGTTAATAGCATTAGATATTAGAGAGTTAAACCCATGGCTAGGGTATACGTGCGTATGTGTGAGAGTAAGGGATAATTCCTGCCAGGTTATTTGGTCCCAGTGGGGACTGTGAATGGAAAGCCAGGTCCCAGATACCACAGTTAGCACCTCCTCCACCAGCACAATTAATGGGCTGCTTTCTTTTATCATGAAAGCCTGCATCTAGTGAGCAGCTTGAAGGAGAAGCGACCAGAGCCCCTTCTGTACTCTAATGTGTGATCAGGACACTGGGAACTGCCAGGCTGAAGGCCCTGGTCACGTCCATTCCTGTTGCAGCCCCATCATGATGCCTCAGTTGAGGAAGTCCTGTGACTAGAGGAGGGATCACCACAGTGCTGCAAACCCACATCTGCAAGTGGGAGGAAATGAGCAAGAGAAAGGAAATCAAACTGGGATCCCAGTGCAACACCAAAGCAGATAAGAAGAGGCTCACAGCCCCCGCAGCACAGCTTTAGGATGGCCACTAAACTCGAGGCAGCTGAGCGTTCTGCAGACTCTTCAGGCACAGAGTCCCTGGCCAAGTCACCCATCACAACAAGGCACTGTGCCTACAGGAATATTTGCACCACAGTGTTTTTTAGTAATAGGTGTCCCTGCCTGCCATGTGGAGCACATACAGGGTTCATCCTGAGCGGGGGCCAGATGCAAATGTTAATAATCCTCTGCCCCTTCCCATACACCTTAACCATAGAGCTCCCAAAAATCTGTCTGCAGGCAGTTGGGAAACGACTGTTTCACATGTTTTCACATTAGCTCTGCCTTCCAGGTGGGGAAACATGAAAAGTGGGGGATGCAGACTTGCCTGAGACTGCAAAGAGCATTCACGTGAGGATTCAGCCCAAGGCCTCCTAGGTCCACATATTAAATATATAACAGCCTTCCTCCTTACCAGAGGGCAAAGTAGTAGGGTGTGTATGATGGCATTTGCCACAGAAGTGCAGGCCACAGGTCCTAGACTTACTACAAATGACCCCATGGGATTCACGGCTCACAACAGCCCCAGGTCCACAATGAGAAACAAGTAAATCCAAACCATGACAAGAAAGCAGAGAAGTCCCTCCCTTCTTCCCTGTTTGCAGCCTCATGTACATATGTAGCTTTTCTACAGCTACCACCTCTGGAAGCCACATTAAAAAGTAATCCAAGGTTTGGCAAGGCCTTCAGATATCTCCATTCAGTCAATGGCATCACTGCAGAGATTGCCAGTAACGTATGTGTAGGAGGCTATTAGTGGTAATTGGGCTAATGAGTTTGCCCAGTCTGAGGGGTAATTGAATCACCTCTATTTGTGTAAGGAACAAGCAAATTGAAAAGACACAGGCCTGGCCCCACAGAAGTATGTATATGCCTAACTCCTATGAAAATTGATGAGAATTAGGACCAAAACGTCTTCTAAGTTCTGGGACAAACAAAAAGCCCCATCTGGCTAACAGTAAAGTCAGCAGATTTGCCACTGAGTTAAATGGAAGCAAGAATCAGGTTCTCCTACAGACACAGATGGATGCCTGGGGAACCGGAAGAAGGAGAAAGTAAAGTAGTTACAACCTTGACCTTAGAGTGCTGACAGCACCATGTTCCCTCATCTTTCATTTTAACATATGAACCCAGGAGCTAGTGGGCTCTAGATTCATGGCTGTGACTGCTGATGGCAGGCTGCATCCTTAGTGCAAATAAGATAAATAGAGATGTAAGGTGCAACAGAGGAGCAGACACTCCAACAGAGAGCAAAAAGAAACATCACACGAACAGCGCAGTATTTATCATCACACGAACTTGAATTGCCCACTTACCCACACACAGACTTTAAGTATGATCCCCCACTAGCACAAAGATGAGAAAAGTGGGAGGACACTTACTTTACTGTAGACACTGTTCCAGTTGTGATGGAGTCTGTCTTGGAGAAAGTTGATTTCAGGTACTCAGGAGTGTTGAATGGCAATGAGACGGACTGCTCCGGCCCAGCCACAGGAGTGCTGCTGGGGGTACTGGTGAGGGGAGCAGGGGCCAGGCTGGGTGTTGGAGCTTTTACTGGAGTAAGCTTCTGAATGTTCCTCACATCATACTTGGAAGGCCGGCCTACCTTGCCTGTTTTGAAGGCGATGGCTCCTCCCATATCTGGGCTTCCTTCTCCAGGCTTGAAAAGGTGCAAGTACTTGACATTTTCTAGGTCATACTTGGAGGCCTTCTTGTAAGTGTTGCCATTTTGTGGCCTGATGCTCTCACCTGTCTTCAGCTTGTGAATGAAGAAGTCATATTTAGAGGCCCGTGACATCAGACCCTGCATCTGGGAACTGCTGGGAGAGGGCAGCGGCAGGATGGTGGCTTTGGTCTCCGTCAGCATGGAGGCATCTGGACCTGGCACCCGAATGGGCTGTGCCAGCACTGAGGAAGTTTCTTTGCCCAGCTTGGAGCCCAACTCCTCAGATTTGGCCAAGTGCATGGGCCAAGAGAGCTGCTCTCCAGCTTTCAGTTTGCGGATGTACTCCTCATACTTGGAGAAGCGGGCTCGTTTGCTCATGGCATCCTCGCCAAGGAGAGAGGCAGCAGTTGCAGTGGCCTCTGAGGTAGCAGTGTTCAGCTTGTCAAAGCTGATCTTGCGGGCCAGCTCATCCCGCATGTTCTGATCATCATAGCCGAACATGCCCAGGAACTCATTCATGGTGGTGGCGGCATAATCTCGCAGCGATGAAGCTTCCCCTACAGAGAACCAAAGCGAGAGAGTCACACAAGGCGTTGATTTTTCTTCTCCTCCCATACCAGCACTAGGAGCGGGGAGGGGGAGTAAGGGGAGAGGGGAACATGATCTACTGACGTTTGGCTCACTTGTTAGGTTTTACGACTCTTAAATTAATTTGTTTTAAAAAAAAAAAGTAATTAATACTGGGGTAAAATAAAAAGAGTTCATCAATGCCAGGAAAATCAATTTCCTAAATGTTCTAGCCGATGGCTTTTCAGTACATTAAACAAAGTTTCATAAATGTCTCTGCACTCTTGCCTTGGCCTAATATGAAGAAAAAGTAATTTTACTGGAAGTGAGACCAACGCCAATATGCCGAGGTTTGTACAGTTCTGTCCTTGCGTGTGTTTGTATATGGAAGGAGGTGCACAGAGGATACACGGCAGTATGTCTGCATGTGTAAGGGGGGGTAGAAACACGTGAGATATGCTATGTGTGTTGGTGAACAGCAGGGCTGAGAGCAGGCAGGACAGCATGGTGTGAAATGGGTAAGGGAGAAAGGGTAAGACAATGTATGGGGTGGAGCAGGAGGAGGACAGAATGGAAAAGTGCAGCATAGAGAAGGAAAGCAGCAGAGGTGGAGATGAATTAAGGTGGGGG